AAAGAGAAGATTCCGACGGTGGTTTGTCCACCCGGGGGCACTCCGACGATCAAGTCAGTATATCTCTCAAAGATAATCAAGTTCTAAACTCACTACTTAGAGCATAAATTGCATACCTTAGACCCACGGGGATCAAGTCAGTATATCTCTCAAAGATAATCAGTAGTGCTAAACTTACTATTCAGAATGTAAATTGCATACCTTAGACCCACGGGGATCAAGTCAGTATATCTCTCAAAGATAATCAGTAGTGCTAAACTTACTATTCAGAATGTAAATTGCATACCTTAGACCCACGGGGATCAAGTCAGTATATCTCTCAAAGATAATCAGTAGTGCTAAACTTACTATTCAGAATGTAAATTGCATACCTTAGACCCACGGGGATCAAGTCAGTATATCTCTCAAAGATAATCAGTAGTGCTAAACTTACTATTCAGAATGTAAATTGCATACCTTAGACCCCCGATGATCAAGTCAGTATATCTCTCAAAGATAATCAATAGTGCTAAACTCACTGTTCAGAATATAAATTACGTACCTTAGACCCATCGGGGGGTGCCTTTCTTTTATAGTTAACTCAATCCTTGTCCCAACAGAAGCCTAGCTTTAATGGACTTTAGCTCAGTGCTTATTTAGGACTCTTCTATAGATAGAGATAAACTTCCTAAGAGTTTTATCTTTATCCAGGCTGAGTCCCCTCATCATTCTAGGACTCTTGTGCGTTATTCGCTTATCTCGGATTCCGATATCTTCTGAGATAACCTCGGCGTCATGACCAGGACACGTGGCACCTCGGCTGACACGTCGGCGTCACTTTGGCCGCGTGTTGGTACTCGGAAAATATATCCCCACAACTACCCCCTAGGTTCTATTACCTCCGGCATTCTAAGGTGATGGAACCTATATCAGAACTTCTTGCCAATACATCGGTTTAAAGTCTCTCAGCCGAGATCATCATATAAGCCGACACGTCTTTTTAAGGTTTAAAGATTCCAAGATCTCCTTCACGCATATGAGCTGTCATGCAAAATAACTCAACTGTTTCAGTCGTGCGTCTTCTTTTTACTGGATCGTACTCCGTACGTGCTTGTAAGCCATCTCGCGCCTGTGTGCGCCGTCTGACGCATACGCTTTTTTAGGTACATTAATGACCTCTTTGCTACCGTTTTTGCGTTTTAACAAAAAATAATTCGTCTTTTCACTTTTTCACCTTTGTTCAAGCCCCCAGTTTTTCCTCTCTCTAGTTCTTTTCTTCAAAATCCGCCACTGTTCTATATTCTTCAAGCTCTGTTACCGCTGTTCACCTTTTTCAACGAGGCTCTTGCTGATATTCCCCGTTCGCCGTCGTCGCCTGATCTCGGCGAACTCGACACTGGTTTCTTTCTGCTGGTAAGTCACCGTTCCTTCTTGATTTTCAATTTTTTGTTTTTTTTTTGTTTTTTGTTTTGCTTTGTTGAACTCTACTGTTCTGCCTCTGTAATCTTGTTCATATCTTTGGTGTTTCATCTTGTATCTTGTTTTCCACCACATGTTTGTTCTGTGATTCTGTTTATGCCTCATTTATTCTCAAATACATACTGTTCACACATTTGTTGACTGTTGCCACTGTTCTTGACTTGTTACACCTATGTTGTGTTTCTTGGTGATCCTTCACTGTTCTTGACTCTGAATCGCATTACCTGTTTCTGTTTTCTTGTGACTTTTCCAGATTCGTGCCTTTGATTTTCGTTTTCATAGATCTAGGTTTCGGGATTTGTTTGTAGAACCCACGATTTTTAGGAGAAACTAAAACTATTTCCACAAATTCTTATCTAGCACATACTTAGGTTTTTACCGAAGTCCTAATAACCCTTTCTTAAAGCTCCATTTTTTTGAAGTCCAGCTCTTCTAATTCAAGCTGTCGTTATGGGTATGTGGAAGCACATGATAGATACCCCGAGCAAATTAGAGCACTTTAGGCAGGAGTTTGGCATCCCGGCCGACGTTCATCTAAGGTTGGCTGGGGAGGATGACTATATCATGCCCACAGATGATTCCATGCCCCTTCCTGTTGTAGCTTTCATCGAGTGCGGACCGAAGTCCTAATAACCCTTTCTTAAAGCTCCATTTTTCTGAAGTCCAGCTCTTCTAATTCAAGCCGTCGTTATGGGTATGTGGAAGCACAAGATAGATACCCCGAGCAAATTAGAGCACTTTAGGCAGGAGTTTGGCATCCCGGCCGACGTTCATCTAAGGTTGGCTGGGGAGGATGACTATATCATGCCCACAGTTGATTCCATGCCCCTTCCTGTTGTAGCTTTCATCGAGTGCGGACTTTGGCTCCCACTCAATATCCTTTTTCATGAGATCATCTATTATTATAAGTTGAACCCAATGCAGCTTGCCATCAACTCTTACCAAGTCATTAATGGCGTCATAGCCTTAGCCAAACAAGAAAACGTTAGGGTTACTTTAGCCGATATCTTGTGAAGCCCCTGAAATTTGTATTCACTTATAGACCCTAATGTTTGAATTATTTTCTTAAAGCCCCTCGGTTACTCGAGATCTAGTCGGTTAGCATTTTATTTTATTTCATCAAAACTGAAATTTTCCTAGCCAGATTAGGTTCCCTAACCTAATTTAATTCTACATGAGAAAGGTCCCAATACATGTATTTAACTCCAAGCCCTCACTCTTTATTTAAATTCAAAACTTACCCTAAAAACTAGTACTTGTACCTTTGTACCATGAGTACCATCAATCATGTAAGATATATATATATATATATACACCTTGAGGAGTGTGTCCTAGAGCCTGAAATTAATAAAATAATAGCCCCTTCACCCTTCCTTAGGGCCCGGCCATTCTAGGAGGAAGTGAGGATACAATTTTCTAAGTCTATCATCATGAAAATCTAGAAACTCACGAACCTAGCACCCTAGACCTAGGATGCTAATTCCAATACTAGTTACCTTCAAACTAAGAACCAACTAAATGATGCCTAATCCTATGATTTAACACCTTAATCACTTCTATTCCTTTAAACTTCAAGCAAAATCCTAATCTTTCCATTCATTTTCAACTAGTGGGCTTTTTTGTCCTTTTACATCAAAAATTGTCTATATAATACCAACACCCCCCTAGCTTGGCAAGCACAAACAACACACTCACACACACATTCGACTAGAGGAGAGGGAGGAGAGCAAGAGAAAGAAGTCTAGAGAGGAAGAGGGAGGAAGAAGAGAGCCTTCTTGTGCAAAGCTTAGTAGGTAAGCCACAATACAACCTTCTCTTTCATTTTCCTTTTTTTAATACATGTTTCTAAGGGTTCTAAACAATGTTTTCAGATCTGTTATTAATGAGTTCTTATGTTAAAAATGCTAAGGGTTGAGTATTGATTCCATCTCTCTTGTATTTTCTCCATTTTGGCACAAAACCATCTTTTTCTATACCAATCTCTCAACTTTCCAAGGGCACTCTTTCAAGCAAATTTTCTGAATTAAATATATGTTATTTAGCATGTTTTCTTCACAAAATAAACGAAATTTTTCCCTTGGTGGAACCCTTTCCTCATAAAACTTCTTGTTTTGGGCATAGTACCTTGGAATCTGTTTTTTCTGCCCACTTCCAGAAATTATAGAAAAATGTATAAAATTATTCCGGACCTCTATTTTATGTCAAAACCTTCCTTAAGGTGTTAGCTTTCAAATAAAATTGGTTTCATCGAAAAACATTTAGCGGTTTGCAAGAAAATCAAATTTTCGTAACGGTCGACGGATCTGGACAGAATCTGGATAGCGCTGGAATATTTTCTAAATAACTTAAAATCTGGAAAACCAATCCCATTTCCGAAAAGTGTTCTAGAAACTAGATCAAATTCTCTACGAACCATAGGGAGACCGAGTCCGGTGGAAGATTTAAAATAGTCCTTTTATCTCAATCTTCATGTGACATTAAATCTGGAAACTGTGTTTTGTATGGATGTTTTATGCCCTTGAATTCATGAAATTGCCTACTTACATATGAGCATATCTTGGCATGTTATTATGTGTATTATGGTTATGTTATTTATCTTCCTCGCTTTATGGATGCATGTTCATGTGGATATTATTGTCTTGTAAGTTGGATTAACTTGATTTAAAACATTTAATTTAACGGGAAACCTAATGGGAGGGTATTGGGTTTTCGAACACTTGAGTAATGAAAGGATGAGAATATGTGATATTTGGATTATTGGGATGCGTTCCCTATTTGAAAGTTAAAGTATTGCGCAAGTGGTTTTTGGAACCCTTGAACGGAGCGGTTGTATTCGGACCCTAGGTGGTTTGGTGTGAGGAGGGATTTGGGCAAGGCCCTATTTTATCGTCTCTTTTGAGGCCCTGCGGTTGGCGCTACGCGGTATATAACTGTTGGTAGGCATTCGAGGTTAGTTCTGCAACAAAGCAGCAAAAGAGGGGGCATACCGAATAATCTTCGTCCGATTCTTGTGGTTGGGAGGACGAAATCTCTTTGAGGGATTTCTAGTTTACTGACATCTAACTTAACCCTTTATTTATTTATTTGAGTATCATGCTTTACTACTTGATGTTATAATTATGATTGTGTATTAGACTGGGAAAAAAGGGTGGGGTGTGTGTGTGTTTACTGGGCATTCAAAGCTCACGGCGTATCATGCCAGGTGACGAAGCGGAACTTATAGCGGGAGACGACGAGCCGGAAACCTTCGAAGACTTTTGGCTATCTTAGGAAGGCTAGAAATTTCCTTTTGTTATTTTGTAAGACTCGTGTGAAAATTTAAACTCTCTTTTGGGATGTAATGTAATGGAACAAGCTTTTGAGATTAAGGGTATTCATGGTTGTTATGTACTTATACTTTAATATTTACATGTATGAACCTTATCGTTGCTTATGAGACCTTGTGTCAATACCTTTTAAGATCTGTCAAAAGGGTAGCGCGCTGCCTAAGAAAGCTGGACTTAGAAGGGAGGCTAATCTGACTCCTCCGGCGATCTGGGATCTTACTGGTTGTTGACCATAGGACTCATTAGTGACTCTCCCTTGACTGCAACCAATGGTGTAGAATCGGGGCGTCACATATCCAATATTGTTATACCATGTGTGGCATCAAAAAAGACACGGGCTATGTTTACTACCTCAAGCTGAGATCCACAGAATACAAAATCATAGCCGACCTCCCAGACTCCAACAAGGGAGTTGGAGATGATTACTTCATTACCTCGGGAAATTGGGAGTTCGCTCCAGATGAGGACCTTCATTTCTACCCTCTTCCTTGATCATTTTTTGTAGAGGGCAATGGTAAGAGCCCTGTGTTCATACTAATTTGTTTTTAAAGCCTTCAATACTTTGTTCGCTCTAATGTCTGTTTTTCTTGCAGCTCTTCCTAAGCCACCAAAGGGTTTCCGTCAGTCTTTCTTTCCTAGTAAAGACTTGAAGAAGTTACTGGATCTGCCATTTCAAAAACGGAAGGCCCCTCTTCTACTTAATTTCATTCCTACCTACAAGTCAGCTCTTCCCGATGTCCCCAAGAAGAAGAAGAAAATCCTTTCTTCGCCTTCCGCTATAACTCCTCAAGCTGCCTCCTCATCTCGGCCAGATCAAGGATCGACCTCTGATCCAGCTGAGTAGCCGTCTACTTCGGCTTCATATCTGATCTCGATATCCCAGCGCCGTTGATAACGCCGAACAGTTTTTGCTGCTGAAATGGGCCGCCAAAAAGCAGTTGCTAAGGATCTTTTGGCCAATATTCCTGATTCAGTTGATGCCCAATCAACGCCAACCCAGCCAAAACCGAAGACAAAAAGGATCAAGAAGGCTCAGCCAAAGGCAAAGGTGACTCAAATTGATACTGAAGATACTTTGCCAATCTCGAAATTAGCTTTGAGCGAGAGAACTACATCTGCTGCCGAGAAGAGGCCAGCCGATGCCCAACCATCTGAATCCCCAAAATCAAAGAAGCCGAGGTCATCCGCTATAACCACATCGGGGTCTCGAAAGCAGGATTCCCACTGGGCTCCCCAAATCACACTGGAGGATAAGCCAGTTAGGGCTAGCGACAGCGCTGATGACATTAATGTCGGCGTTGCCCTTAGTACTGCTCTACTTCTTCCCGGTTATCTCGATCGAAATGCCGAGTTGAGTGAATATGAAAACTATGCTCTGATGCTCCAGCGCTCTGTCCAAGTAAGTGTCTTTATTTGGTCATTTTTATTTCTTTCTTGTACTTGGAAAATTTTCTAATAACTTTTGTCTTGTTCACTTTCAAGCGATCCAGCACGCTCATTCCTTCTCAACACAATCCTTTGAGAACTGAAAAGAACTGGCCGATAAGAAGAGAGAAGTTGCCAGTCTGCAAAAGGCCAACAAAAGCTTATAATCCAAGATGAAGACCTTGGAGGATCAAGCTGAGGCTGCTATCAAGGCCCAAAATGTCACCGAAGAAAAAGCAGAATCCACCGAGGCCATTAAGAAGGTTCTTGAGGCCGAAAAGAGAGAGGCCGAAGAAAAGATGACCCAGGTCCAGAAGGAACTTTAAGAAGCCCTGGCCACAAAAGAGGCCGAAGTCAAGGCCGCTGATGAGAAGGGCTATAACGAGGGGGTGGCCGATGTCACAGCAGACTATGAAAAGCAGGTGAAGCAGGCCTGCAACAAGGGTTTCACCCTTGGTTGGATGTTTCTTCTAAAAGGCTTGAAGTACCCGAGGACTCGCCCCTCAGGAACGCCGACGTTATTCCCTTTCCATTCCCTCCAACTCCAAGTCAATTCGACGACGAATCTAAGTCTGAGGAGGAG